ATTTTAAATCTACATAATCACAAAATCATTTATTAGTATAAAAATAGGACCTGTGTATACAGCATGTAGTTTGTTGTAAACAAAGCTTTTGTGTTTTTCAGCTAGACAGTGTAAAAGCCTCTATATTTGCTTCGTTTTGCTAATTGTACATTTCTTTGCTAACTGTGAGCAACTTTACCTGGTTTACGGTGAGAAGTCCACCTGAAACTGGGCTCGTGTGTCAGCTGTTTGCAACTCAAAAGAAAAAATTAAGGAAGAAACACTAAAAATGTCGTATTTAGGAAAAGTTCAGTGATTTTTAGCTGTGTTGGCTGTTACTGCTAATCTTCTCCTGTCATGGAAACGTTACCTTGCCAACCGCCATAGACCTCAAACAAGAAGAAGAAGAAGAAGAAGAAGAAGAAGAAGAAGAAACTTCCGGTCCTAACGGAAGTCCCTCCCTCGCTTCAACATGGTTCCTCCGGTCGCAGTGTCGCCACTTATCAAGGTAATAACATCAGTTATTTTAGCTGAAATTTGTATTTCTCGCCATCTCAAATGAAAACCGTTCATTTAAAACACCATAATTCTTCTTAATATGAGCGGAATTGTAAGCGGGCCGTTCATTGTACGTATTCTCGTAGCATGCTAAGCTAGTGGTTGCTACCAGTGACATTGAGAGTCTGTGCAGGTGAACATGTCTCCGCATAAGCAGCTGCAGACCTGGAGCATCTTTTACATCTGTCAGATGTGACTGTCATTACTAACTAGTTGTTTAGCTACAGTGAGTCACATCAGTCAGCGGTGTTACAGTTATTGTTATCCGCTTTAGCAGAAAGGTCAAAGAAAAGCTGGACTTCGCCCCTGTCACTGCTAATGTTGGGGAAGTTTGTGAGCAGTTATGCTATGTTGTGATTAACGGTGACAGCATCGTGGCTATTGTTAAATACAGAACTGCAGAAATCATCAGAAAGATGGCAGTCGCTCAGCTAGTATTGTTTAATAGTGGCAGTCACCACAGAGAAGTGACATTGTCGCAGTGAAAAATCTATTACAGTAAAATAACTTTCTCAGCAGCTGACCTTGCCGCTATTGTCCAGCTAATATACAGTTAGCTGGTACATTTTTATTTTTATTTTTTAACACGAATCACTTGTATTTCAGACGGCCAGATGGTCCGCCTTGCTGCTCGGCATGTTCTATGGCAAGCAGAGGTTTGGTAAGTTCACCTGTGCGCATGCGCCAGCGAGTGTCCACACTTACAGGGCTGCAAGTAAACAAAGACTTACCTGATTGACCTAACATTCCTGTACATGACAGCAAGATGTCATCAGATTGCTTATTGTGAAGCCACATATGTGTTGGCTTGCGGTTAATTTAAAAGGCACCATTACTGGTTACTTTCCAGTGAAACACGTCTGTTCATGGCAGGCCTGTGTAGCACTGCCCAGCAGGAAACCAGCAAGTGTAAATACAATTAATGGTGGCTACATTTGCTTTAGTTGCTACAGGTTCAGTCAAAATGTGTGAATTAGGACCTATTATTTTTTATATAAAGTATGTGGCATGCAGGCACCTGACAAGGCTACCCGGGATAAATGTTTGATGGCCAATACTTCTTTATTACCTCAGTAAGAGTAAAACTAGACTCCAAAGAAAGGAACTGTTCATCAATGTCTACAGCTCCCTAAAAACCCTGCAGTCTTAATTGTTTGTGTGGTTCTGTAAAATTAATGTTATTATTTGGTGTTTATGAATGTTGGAATGTAAGAACATGCACTGAAAATGTCAAAAGTGATCTCTGCAGCTAATGTATATTGTGTTGGTCCCCCTTTTTCTAGCATGGACATCCTGTTTTTAATTACCATAGTTGTTGTCTGCTTTGTGTTCGGGATGTGTTATTTAAATATTTCAGGTCAAATAGACATAATCCAATGCCAGCTCACCCTTAAAAATAGAAGTCTTTATCTAAAGAAAATGTCGATATATTATTAAACAAACAAAAATACACTACGTAGACAAAACTCAGATTAATTAGGTTGCCAACATTAGTACCTAATTTCAAAACAAGTTCCCATTCCGTAGCAATTCTTATTTTATCATAGAGTTTAGGATGCTGTTGCAACTATATTGTAAATCCCTTTATGCTTTAATACACAAGTGCATTCCCCTTTTTACATGCATGCATGGCACTGAACTCCTGCACTAATTGGTTACACTATTGACTGGCAGTGTTGTTTTTCCTGTTAAGATTACCTGAAGCCCATTGCTGAGGAGGAGAAAAGGATCGAGGAAGCTGAGAAGAAGGCCAGAGAGGAGCAGGAGCGCATCTACAAACAGCTGTCTGAAGGTAACACAGGAATACACATGATCTCTCTACTTGTGTGTTATGAGTCGACACGTTGTTCACAAACTGACTTTTTTTTCTCTCTCTCTTTTTCTCCTCTTTCTGCAGCCAATTCTGACACCATCCTTAAATGAACTGTATCTGGACCTGTGTTATATTCCAAATTAAATAAAAACATAAAATATTTTTCATGTAACAACTGAAGTGGTCTTGTGGTGTTTGTCTTTTCTGTATTAATTTTCCTTCTCATAGTTGAGTAGAAAATAATCAAGACCTGCTGAACCACCAAAAACAAACACTATCTTAAGTTGGTTTTATTGTTAATTGTAGCACACACACATTTTGTGACTAGAGCAGGTGTGTGTGTGTGTAGCTGTCCTTCAGTGGGAGATGAGCCTGGGGGAAGAGCATGGTAGTAATCCTGGCCTAGTTTAGCAGCAATCCCAGGATTGGGGTCAGGGACCAGTAGTAGAAAGTGCAGTGTGGACAGAAGCTTTCCCTCAATACTCTTGTGTGTTGTGTAATATCGTAACCTTCATTATGAGCTCTACTGTGCATTGTATGGAATAGGCTATTGCACTTTAATTCTTTTGAATACGTGACTGTAGTTAAGTCTGTGGCGTATTTTATGTTGCTATATGCACCTCCTGTCTTATCCCGTTTTAACGATAAGATGGTGATGCATCTATAAACGTCTGTTCCCTGTGTGGGAAGTTTTAGGTTCAGAGTTAGAAGCAATTAATTCACTCGGTTACCTCCCATAAAAATACAGTTGCTTTATTTAGGTCAATATTGTACAGATAGAGCACATGACGAGGCAAGCTTTAAAGGACTGACCATAAAGTAAATTCCATCTATTTAAAAATGTCAGGGGCGTATCCACAGCACGTTACGGTTCATTCATTACCTAACATTACAGAGTCACCTTTATTACACCCATACTTTATTCCATATGTGGAATACTTTTACATTTGTAAATGGAGGCAAGCATGAAATACTCAAAGATAAGGGGAATAAGATATTACTTGATGACTCATTTGCCAGTGCTTGCAGATGTTGCTAATAAAAAACAAAATAAGCATCTCTATTTCAACTAGAAAAAAATTAGGTATATTTACAGAAAGAGAGGCAGTATGTACAAGTCCTAAGACAAAGCTTAGTTTCTCCTTGAGGCTGTCTCAAACAGCTCTGTGTCTTCAGACGTTGCTATGGAAATAGCCTGATGGCTCAGTGGTCAGTGCTGCTGCCTCGCAGCACGTCAGTCCTGAGTTCAGGTCTTGGACCTGATTGTTTTCATTTAGGGTCTACATGTTGTTCATGTGCACACTTTCATATTTGGGATTCCTCTCACATCGAAGACGTGGATGTTTGCTATAATAATAACTCATGTTGATCCCCAGGTGGTGTTCTCTGGCCGACCCCTGCTCTTATTCAGAATGGGTCCAAAGCTGAGGTTAGTTTTCAGGTGGGGATTCATATAATACAATTTGAACAGGTTTTCTGGTCCCAGTGTTTGAAATCCTCCTGTTCTCCGTTCATCTTAATGTAGCCAAGTACAGTAAATTCATATTTAAACAACAGATAACCTGAAATAATAAGTTTTATCTGGAATCATCTGATGTTCTGGATAAAACCTGTTCTCATTAAATAAGACATTTGTAACACTATATTTGTAAAATATACTCTCTTCTACTTCCCCATTCACACGTATATACAGTATAAAGGCATCATGAATAAGCATCTACAGACCTGACTGCTGATAGTAAACTTATGTCTCTATTGCACTGCATTGATATTTATGAAAAACTGCCGTTCTTTCCGTAGCATTACTGAACGTCTATCTTTGGCTCTCTGCTGTCAAGGTAAACAAACTCTCATTTGTAAATAGTGAGTGACTGGAAGGAGTGAACAGTGAATCAACTTTTGGAATACAAATGACGGAGGACATTCCGATCTCGCCATTCTCTACTGCATGTTCTGTAAAAACTAAAGTTACAAAAATGCACAATATATGCAAAAATAGAGCTCCAAACATGTTGTACAGTCTACAGAGGCTCTCATATAATATATATACTTTACAGACCTATATACAAGTTGTGCTCTGTCATGTTTGCTGGGTTGTAAAACTAGTTTTAGGGGAAAAAAAATTTGACACACAACAAACATCCATTCTCACACACAGTGCACACATTCGTAGCTAACATTAATCATCCAAAGATAAGGAAACTGTTTTTAAGATAAACATGAATGCAAAAATCTCCTTCATTTTGATTTGTTTTATAATTTTAAGATATGAACGGGCAGTTAGCTCTTAAATGTGTCGTCTACTCAGGACTGTTTTTGTTGTTCCTCAGTGACACTTGGTTACTGGTAACTTTCTTGGTGAGGATCCTTGTTTAGGTTTTTCTTCTCTGATTGGAGCCAGTTTTTCTGGAGAAGTACTACGGGGCTGTGCATTCACATGTCTGACTGTATGACATTTTTTAAGATGAGCTGACTGGCTTTGGTTCAGTCTACCGTGAGCGTCCATGTGCAACCCCGTAAGGTACCCAGCTCGTCGGTCTTTTAGCACACTGAGCAGGTCTTGGAGCCCGACCCTCCACCACTGGGATTATTGGCAGCAGCTGTTGGACAAATCCACAATAAACAAAGGAATCAATCAGCAACATTCAGAAATAAATGTTCAGTTTTTGTGTTCTGACTAATTTCAGTGAACAAAAACAGTAATACTCCTCATTGAGTTCATACATTTTACTAATTCATTGTACTTCAGCGTTTATTCTAAAGAATCACTGCACCTTGACCGCCCGATTTTGCCTCTTTAGCAGCTTTCTCTTCCTCTATGGCCTTGAGTTTAGCCTCGTACTCTTCTTTTTTAGCGTTCCACTCCTTCCTGTTGTTGAGGATGCCATCCAGCATAGGTGTGATTTGAGGGTGGAAACGAGAAAACTCCTGACGAGAGGCGAAGCGGAAAGAAAAGGAAGACAAAGAAAGATGACAACAGAGAAGTTTGGACCAAAGGGCTTGTACACACAATGATGCTCCAGTGGAAATAAATGAGTTTTAATCAGACATTAACCAGAAAACGGCATATAAACTGTAATATGAACAAGAAGACCCACAAAAGAAAAAAGATTTGTTCTAGAAACACTTACAGAAATCATTCGGTGCTCAGGTTGTGTGTTAAACATTACCTTGTAGACAAATGTGCAGACAAAGTCAATGAAACCACACTGTAGCTTTGGGAGATCTGCTGCCTTGTTTCTGTCCATCATGGGCTGGAGGGAGGAACAGAAGATTGGAGCACTCAGAACTGTCCTGTTAGCAGTTCATTAAATCAGTTCTAGTCCCATTTATATTTATGTATCTGACTTTTTTAATACAGCTTCCATCCATCAGCGGTAATGCTGATTACAGTATTTCTGAGCAGCACTCCAGCAGAGGAATAAACTACATCTTGAATTTTACTTAAGCTACAATAACTTGGAAGTCACGTGCTGCTTATAGGAGTATGCCTTGTATTTATCACTTTGAATTTGCCTGACATCATAATTATTTGGTTGTTGATTAGTTCACCTTCCCTCTGGTGAGTTTCTAATAAGAGACGTAATGAGTCTGATGCCCAAGTTCACATTTTTCTACCTCTGAGTTGCTGATAAGGGGATATATTCTTATCATGTTCTATCTTTATGCACCTGTAACAGAATTATAGTTAAACATTTTTGCTGTTGGACATGTCCTCGAGGCAACAGGCCACTGGACAGTACATTGTTAGTCAGCGGTTGCTAAAAAAAAAAAAAGCTAAGACCGAAATGAATATTTGAATAAATAACTAAACAAAAATAGTGTCTTTCTTTACAGCTAGGAATGTCAATCTACAGTTACATACATCTGTAGTTTTTACACAGATATAGATTCAATCCAACAATTAAAAAAAAAAAAAAAAAAAAAACTCACAATGGGTTGTTGTTCCAGTACTGTCCTCTCCAGGTCACCCTGTTCCCAAAACTCTGCCGCCACAGACAAAGCAACCTAAAAGACAAACCGAATCTTTAAAAAGCAGCTCACAAACACGATAAAAATGCCGCAAAATAACCCAAAAACTAAACTTTTACCAGCTTCTCAAGTTTGTCTGCATTATATTTTATCAATCTATCAGTTAACTTATCGAAACAACCTTTATTCCTTTGGTAATTCCTTCATTTGCCCATTTTTAGTGCCTCTCACCTTGCTCTGCACTTCCCAAGGCTTTGTGATAGCGGACAAGTCACATGCGGTCATCATCATAGCCCTGACATTTAGAAAGAGAAGATTTAGAAGATGAGAGAAACGTACAGGAACAGAGAACAGAGAACGTTGTGCGTGTTTGTTGCACTCACATGACGATCTCTTTTCTGGTTGTTTCCAGAGACATGAAGTCGACCCATTTCTTCTCTTCCTCGTATGTGTGTGAAAGGTCCACGATCTTTTGGAACATGGTTCTCTTCCTGGCAAGGCACAAGGAGAACGCAACACATCAGAGAACGAGCACAAAGAGGGAATAAACGAGTGGGAGAAAATACGAGATTGTACTGACTTGAAATAAAGAGCCAGGTCAGTGGCGATGATGGCAATGTCCATGAGATGAATCACGTGCTCGATCTGTCGCTTGTTAAGGTTCTGGTAGATATTCAGCGACTGCAGAAGAGGAGAGAGGTGTCGAAATTAGCAACTGGGTGGATATTTCATTAAATTTGGTTAAACTCTGTAATCGTCTTTCTCACGTCGTCAGCCAAGAGGAACTTTCCAAACTCTAGATGGTGTCGTTCCAAGATGGAGGAGCCGTGTAACTTGGCCAGAGGGTTACCAGACCTGTTGGGGTTTAAGGCATCATACCAATTACATAGCAAAGAAGAGACACAGCAGTGGGGTTGTTGTACATGTCTAAAAGCCCCTGACTCTACCTGATTATGTTGCACAGTTCAGGAGATTCTTCTCTAATAACAAATGAAAAAGTTCCCAAAAGCACTTACTTGACCTGGTACAGGTTGTTTGTCCCTCTGTGATCGATATCGTGGAGGAATCCTGCAGTTATCATGGCCATTACCTCCAGGTCGGTGTAGTATCGCTTCAGCACTCCCGTCTGAGCAAAACAGAGACACAAGTGGCACCACGTCCGTGATTTGGTAGACAGCAGTGAAAATTCCACACTGTGTTGTGTGTTTTATGCGCTAGCTCATGAGAGTGGAACAATAATATTCATATAGCTTCTACTGTAATAGGAGGATAATAAACCGCCTATTTACCGTTAATAGTGTAAACATGGTCTGTCCCACGTTGAAGCCGTGGCGCCAGTTGTGGTAGGTGATTCTTCTGTAGCCTTTACTGACTGAGTACATGAAACGAACCAGCACCTGAAAGGAAAGCAGAGAATCGAATAATGATTCACACAGTCAAGGTAAAACTAGCTGCTTGTACACAATTTAAAAGCAAAACACTTTGTTTGTGTGTGAGTGCATTACCTCCTGAGGGACCTGGAACTTCTTGACCACTCCAACTTCGTAGTACATCTGGATGCCGCACTTCACAAGGTCCATCTCTGTGCAGTTAAAATCCGAGAAGTGGAACTGATAGATCTCGAACTTCTTAATCAGTGGAGGTAGTTCTTTTTTCTGAGATGGGAAAAAATAAAACATAGGCAGAGTAAAAAGAAAAAAAACAATTAAACACCAGATTCATGGCCTCATCTGTGACCTCAGACTCAGAAATGTGTGAATAAATCAAAATTTCCTCATTTTCTAAAATGCTGTTTAGTCAAGAACACAAGTGTTTGGTTTACCAGGATATCTAAGAGCTCTTCCTCTTCACACTCTCTGGGTTCCACGCCGTAGACCTCTCTGGTGTTCTGGAAGAGATGAGAAAGCCATTGACATGAAATGCTTCACCTGAGCAAACAGTGAGTAGTACAAACATCCTGCAAAGTGAAACGGACATGCTGAGGAAAGAATAGGAAATATGAGGGTTTTTTCAGCTGGATGTTGGACTGTTTCTGCTTCGTTGGACAAGATGAGTTGAGAACATTATTATTTCACTGAGTCCAACTGAGGTGGGAAACCTTGTTGGACCACCTGGATGTAGACAACTGGATGTTTATCCTACTGTTTGGAAAAGAGGGCAGCAGTACTGACCAGGATATTCTGAATTTCATCGTCCCGACACTTGACATGGTAGAGCACCATGTCCTGAGCGATGTCTTTCCGGTTCTCGAGCTTGTTCATCTTGTCGTAAGTGTCCGTGTTCAAAGCCGACCATCCCAAGAACTGAGTCAAAGCCTGAGAAACAGCGTGAGATCACAATCAGCATGCAGAACTCATAACATAGCGTGTCCACGATTCATAGGAGAGACTAATGTTACCTCCATGAGCTGTTCATCCTGATCATCAAAAGGCTTTCCATCTTTTCGGTTGTAAAACGTGGCCACGCCGACTATCTCTTCTTTTTTGTTGACGATTGGCAGCGAGAGAACATTTTTTATGGTCCAGCCACTGTTGTCCAGCGGTTCTGTCTGCAACAGTTAAACAAAACAAAAAACAAACATATCTCTATGAGATCCCTGGGCTGTTTTTTTTAAGTAGTTGCCTTTGCAGTTAGAGGTGTTTGAAGCCTCTTATTGGGTCAGAATCATCCTTGAAATTGCAAAGAGTGCACTTTAGGATATACATTATTAAAGGTGTCTGATCCAGAGGTTTTATTTTTTTATTTTTTGTATTATTACTTTAGCTTATTTTCACAATGTACAACACTTGGATGCCACTCCTTTAACCTTTACCAGTGTTTTGTTTTAACTTAACACATATTTTTCCATCTCTTATGCCATTTAAAAAATAGTTATATACATGTTTAAAGCCATTTTATCATTAAGTTCTCATCCTTGCAATAACATTTAGAGCACTCAGTATTTTGATGTTGTCTTCTGTGGTAAAATCCATCACATGTTTTAAATCTATGACACAATAAATATAAAACTGAGTCTTTTAAAAAATATATACATATTGCTAATTGAAATATGCAATCAGATGTTTCCCCCAAACTGTTCCGCCTCAGTCTCTTACCTGAAATTGGAACATCTCATCGGCAGCTGCGTTCATAATGTTACAGATCTAAGAAGGAGAAAAAACAGCAGACTGACTCCATTTGGAAGATGTGCAGGTGCATTACTTTGGTCCGATTTAGCAGCTCGTAGCGCTGAACTAAAAGGAAACTCACAAAACCGCTCTCGGCAACGTAAGTCGGTAGTCCGCTGCTCAGAGCCCAGTGGTCTGCGGGTGGACCCCTGTGTGTGACACAAGGGGGACAGGCCAGTTAGAAGATCAGATCACAGATTGTGTTTAATTCAATTCATGAACGTTTGTCACTGACTTTACATCATTAATAAAAAATAAGTACACTTATATAGTTTTTCTCAATTCTGCAATTTAAACAACTGAAGGCTGAATCATCACTAATTTGTTATCCGTCACCACATCTTGAATAAGTAATTATTCACACCAATGCAAACCTGAAAATGAGAACGCATTTACTTACGGTATTACTTTGATGTCTTCTTTTCCGTGTAAAATATAGTCAATCACTTTGTAGAAAATTACTTCCTGCAAGAAAAACGGACATTTAAAAGAAGACCAGTATGAGGATTTCTACTGCCCAGCTGACTACCGATGATAATGAGATTTAAATCATGTACCCTGCCATCAGGAGTTACGGGGCCGGAGTAAGGTGCCTGTTCTCCCATCAGTACTGGCCAGATGTCAAAGAACTCCTGGAAAAATGTAGGGAAACAATTAATAACTTCATGGTAATAAATGCACAAACATAAAATGCGTCTTGTTACAAGCAAAGACACAGGAGGACACAGTACCTTTTCCTTCGTCATGTCTAGTAAACCCACAGAGTAGCGGTCACAGTTGAGGTAGGCTCGCACCGTGTACAAGGCTTTGTGGAACTGTCGCTCGATGTCCGTCAGCTCTTCAAACACCTTGTTGGCAGACCACAGCAGCAACTGGAAAACACAACATATACACGGTAAAAAAGTGTGACTGCAATGTTTCTGTGTTTCTGTTAAACACCTGGAATGAAAAGCCAAACTTGTGCATGGATAAAGTCCGGTACCTGTCCTTTGCGTGTCTCACAACTGTGGAGGTAACTCAGATGGTAGATCTTCAAGTTCAAGGAGGCAATTTTCAGATACTTTAAAAAAAGCTGGAACAGAGGAAACATGTTACAATAAGCTTTCTGATGTAAAAATACAGATTATATATTAAAATGCAATATGTTTTGTATGATATATTAATACAGTGAAAGCATATGGATTATATATCATGAGTTGTTGTGCTTTTTAAAATATAGTGGTTTGTAATCGCTCCCATTAATAGTCCACTCCGCTCTGTTTTTCATGTCTGACATGTGAGACATTATTCAGCCATGTTGGAACATATTTATCCACATTCTTCATATCATCACAAAACATAAAAGGCTTCATGCAATAAGATATCTCTACCTAGTTGTAATATTAACCTGCTGAGGCTTATTTCTTTCATTTTGAAAGGTAGTTTATCCCTAATTGGGATGACATCGTCGTACGTGATGGATTACGGTACTGACGTATATCTGGTCCACCTGTAAAAGGCTTAAATAACCAACCAGGATTCCCTCCCAGCTGTAGTGATACATGCCGGTTGTCTTTGAGAGCTCTCATAACAATGGATATGTTCTATTTAAACAACCAAACAGACCCACAGTCTAAACTATGGCTGCATTTTGAGGCCTCTGTACGTCACACTGCTCTGTTAGTTTGTTTGCGTGCTTGTGACTCACATCCTCGTCCTCAGCAGTGAAATGTGGTCCCGTGGTCTTGTTTAAAGCCATGATCACCGCCACCATGTCTTTGCCGTTGAGGATGGGAGTAGCCAGAATGCTCTTGGTCTCGTACTCTGTGAGTTCATCGACGAAGGAGCTGAAGTGCTGGTTCTAAACGGCAGAAACGCAAACAAACAAAACACCATTATTGTTACGTTGCACATGCATTAGTTGCTGTGTGTGCATGATAAAACCTTTCCTTGCTTAACTTGACGTTATGGTATGGAATACATCGTGTTAAGTTACAATACAATACATATCTTTATTTAGTATATTGTATAGTTTAGTGTATTGTTTCTGAATCAAATGTGGATTTATGTGTCTAATAATAAATGGCATCTATGTGGATAGTTCAAGGCCTCCAAAGTATGTATGTGAACCCAAAACACAACCACCAGTGACAGTAAATCCCGTCGAAATCATTGTATAAAAACCCACTATGGACACAACGTGTTGCGTAAAGTAAAAGTAGTTTTGATCTGTTTTGGATTCCTGCTGACTAAATGCCAGAGGCGTCTAATCCACAGCTAGAGCAGAGGCTGACGGGATCTGAAAATAAATGGATTATGTCTGACAAGGGGATTTACACCCTCACTTGGTCAAGTATAGATATGTGTGACTAACTCTTGTTTTACTCGTCTGCAGGCTTTGGTGGTGATATGTACCGTAATTCATGATATCGTACAGATCAATTACAGACAGGCCACGGACTGATATCAAACCTGACATACGTTAGTAATAAACAAATACATATTTAATTACTTAATAAGCAAACAATCTGTTGTAATCTAAGCTTTTGTTGAATGACCAGATCCAAAAGAATGTAAAATCTCTACACCTGTGCATTGTTAACAAAAAAATCCCACAAATTAAACCCACACGAGAACACGAGGATGGTTTCCAGAGGGCATCAGTTGTATCCTGACAGCTACTAATTTGCCTTCTATTAAGGGGATTATGTCCATTAAGTGCATCACGGTGATCTGTTAATTAGGATGTCAAAAATGTTTCCAGCCAACCCCAGCAAATCGGTGTTTAGAGGTGATTTATCAGCGCTCGCTCATCTGCAGTGTGCTATTTAAAGCCTTGACCTACATCTGTTTCTTACACACTTTCATATATTTCTTGATGATTAATAATGGCTTAGAAGGCAAACATATAATTGCTAGTTGAAGCCACTATGTGTCAGGTTTAAAAACTGAAAACCGTGATGTCACCTGGTGGTAATATCATGAATCGCACTGACCACTAAGGATGTACCTGCCTTTATTTCTACGCTCCGTTCAAATAGAGCCACATCAGTTGCATATGTGACTTACCAATACACTAACTCCTCACCTCTTTGACATTTTTCACATTGACGGTCTTCTTGGTCAGAGCCACGTTGCCGACTATGCCCATGTCGAGCGGATAGACGATCTCGGAGTCCGGCGGCACCACGCAGTCGTTCAGCTCCGACTCCGTGTTGACGTTGAAGAGCCTCGTGGCGAGCTCTCCGATGCCGTTTCGCTGCCGGTACATGAACAGACTGCAGCGGTCGGCGTGGATGAGCGCGCTGATTCTCTTCAGGATCTTGAACACCACCTTTTCCACGTTGATGTTTTCTTGCATGTCTTTGATCAGGTCGTACATGATTTGGCTTTCCTCAACCTTGCAAAAAAAGAGAAAAGAATTACTCCATTTTTAGACTTGTAGAGGACTGGCCTAGCTGAGAGTAACTTAACGAGCCTGCACTACCATGAAAAGGTGCACTGGTATCATTGTTTTGTTCCAATAAACAAGCAGTTAAGAAATGTGATTTACCTGACTAAGTTGTTCAAACTGACTGAAGTCAACTTGCTTCTCTGGGAGTCCGGACATCTTTGACACAGAAGAAGCATTCATCTTCTTGGCAAAGTATTGTTTAGCAAACGCAGGGTTCCCCTTGAGGAAGTTTTCCACGTCTTCCTTTTGAACACCCATGGTTCCTTCTTCCTCCTCTGCTCCCAAATGTCCCTGTCTGGTCCCTCTTCAGCTCAGTGACGGAGCTCCCGCTGGGTCCAACGCTGCTCTAGAGGAGCAACCTCCAACTTCTCCAACTGGAAACAAAAGACAAAATTAGAAAACAAACGCCTTACACACTGACTCCTTTAGCTCCTTTATCCCCTAAAAAGAGAGAACGAAATCTTACCCAGGTGTTACACAGAAAGTGGGAGAAAAGAAGTGGACACATTCAAATGCAGGTAAAAAAAAAAAAGATAATCCCCTCCTGTTAGCGGGATGAGCGGACTGAGTAAGGGAGAGCCCTGAGGAGAAGGCAGAGGGCTGGATCCAAACAATCCTTCTGTCATCAGCAGATAGTGCTGAAGGTTAGCAGGGATCTGCCTATACTAAACTCATCAGCTGATCATGTAGTAACGGATATGTGGGCCAAATGATCCAGCCTCCAGTGTGCCTCAGCACATTCAGTACCTGTGAAGATCAAAATCTGATACTACACTGAAAGTAGAAATATATGTGTATACTGTAATCTTCTGTATTTAAACCTCATGAAAGCGTGACATACACTGAAGAAGCTGTATGATTCAACAGGTTTCTCTCCTGTTTTTCTTTTAATTGCACTCAGGGTAGCACTCAGGGTATATTAGTAAAAGTGATGAATTTATTAGAGGGTGTTTGTGGTGACAAGTTGGACTGGACAGGGTCTTATAGCCACAGAAAAAAAAGATAATAAACAACAAAAATGACTCATGAGCAGCAAGAAAATGAGTGAACATCAAACTACCAAACCAAGTTAATATAGCTGTCATATTTACAAAAACACAAGGCCTAAAAACATACAAAAATAGCATTTAATAATAAAAAAAGCAAAGAAATATGTGAGAAATGTGGAGCAACTACTGTCTGTTTCTTGTTTACTGCACTCAGTGAATAAGTCATGTTACAGATGTATATTTCCAATGTGATTAAATCCATCATCCATCAGTTTCATCACAACAAATCAACAGAGTGCACAGAAACATAAATGATGTTAAAGTATACACAGTGTAAACGCACACAAATGGCCTTTTCTTATCATATCGACAGTATATTTCCCAGTGTTTTTAATTGATTACATACTGTCTACAGTCTGCTGTTTCTACCTCTCTCTCAGGTCTCTCTGCACAAGCTCTTTAAGTCCTTATTAAACAAGGCCTCCTCTGGCATAAGCCCTATTTAGTTAGGACACTAGCTGATTATCTCAGCACCCCAACTCTCTGTCTCTCTACAATCCTAAATGCAGTCCACCTGCAGCGAACACACACAAAGTGGAGTGAAAGTGAAACGTCCTGCGCTTCTGCAGGGAAATTAATCTTTCCATTCAGAGCTGGGAGGACCCGTCTATAATAAGGTCCCATAAACACCTTAAACAAAAGGTCAGATAGATAATCTGCTTCCACTATAATAGATTACGGCAGGTCCAACATGTGTGTGTGACAGAGTGAGTGAGGGAAGGAGGCTGTAGTGATGAAGGATGGTCGCTTTAATTAAAGAGTATTTGATGTTTACCTGTAGTCATCTATGCATCATCTGAACATGAATCAGGCTGAGGTCCACACTTATTTTTATACTTCATTAGAGTTCAGAAATTGTGCAGATTTAGATTTAAGTATCAAACTTCAGTTGATCTACCTTTGCAGTTGTTGCTTTAGTGTCGCCAATGAGAGCATTTAAATCACAGTTTCATCTGTTGACATGAAATCTGTATGTCACAGCTGACTATTTAGCCGTTGACAATTAACTGACAATTAATTCTGATCGTATGTTCTGAATTTAATTGCTCTCCATTTGATATTTGTTGATAAATGTCATTAAAAATCCCATATGTCACATGGTGGACTTTGTCTGTAAACTGGAATTACATTACGATGAGCTCGTTTCAGGGCCGACACAAGCATCATGTGTTCATGTTTTTTTGTCCTGTGTTTCTGGATAAATGAGATTAATATGAGAAGTTCTCACCTGCATGGAGATGGATTGCTGCTGCTAATTACCCTGACCCTTCAACAGTACTATTTAATTTCACGTACTTTTTAGTCTTGCATAGCCAGACTACTCAACAATTTCCCTGAAGTTCTACCAAAGGGATCAATAAAGTTCTGTCTATCTATCTATCTATCTATCCATCCATCCATCCATCCATCTACCGTCTAATGCCGACACAGCTTTGTGTAGAACGGTCTGGCTGCACCTCGCTATCATTCGGCCCCAGAGGGAACAAAAAGCTCTGGTGTATTTGTATTTCTTAAAACCAATCCAGATTTTCTTAGGCAGGAGTAAAAACAGGAAGCCCTGGCAGTGCTTAGTCAAAACAGGGGAATTGTTTTGGTGGCACATTTGCCTGCAGGGAGGCGAGCACTTCCATCAAATTAGAGAATTTACTAAAAAATTTTTACACAGCTGCTTTATTGCATGATCAAAAAATGTTAAACATATAAGTGGCAGCTTGGAGGATGCTGTTGTTTCCTGAAGTGAACGGGATTTTGAGGGGAGGAAGAAGCCACGTGAATAGCAGGCTTATACCTGGACTCTACATCTACCCCGTCTCCAACTAGAAATTGATGTTGAAACTCTGGTGGGTGCTCACTGAGGGAGCTTTATTTTGTGAAAACCTTTCCTAGAAGTGTGACGTTATAATCTCATTAATTAAAAGAAAACAGAGAATTTTTTTTTCCTCTCAAGTGAAAGCATTGCACTTCCAAAAGGGCCACATATGGAGCAAAGAGAGACCAAAACCAGGCCATCGCTATAGCTCACCTGGTTGAGCTGGCGACCCATAGACAGAGGCTGTAGTCCCTGATGCAGCGGCCATGGGTTTGAATCCCACTCATGGCCCTTTGCAGCAAGTCCTTTCCCAATCTTCTCCCCTACTTTCCTGTCTCTCTCTTAACTGTCCTATACAGTAAAGGTAAAAAAAAAAAAAAAAACTTTAAAAACACAAGAGAGACCAAAACCTTTCTAAACAAGGAAGTGGAAAAACTGGAACTCATCCTTTCATTTGTAAATGACATTAACATGTGTAATTCTGCGTTACACCACGAGATGGCAGCAGATCCTAGAAGTTTGGCTTCAGGGCTTTTTGCCAGCAAGGCTTTCTGACATGTGGTTAACAAAAGGTCTATTTTATGCCAAAAAAGGGATTTTTTTCTTCCTGAACTAAGTAGATTTGGTGTCTAAAGCTAATCACACTGCAAACTGCAAACAAATCCCCCCAAACTACACATCAACAGGTTGCTTTCACAGGAGTAACAAACCCCAGCCTCCTCTGTCAGAGTCCTGTGTTTGACCCATTGATCCTCCTCCCTGCTGTGGCCCTTTACACGACCTCACCTGACTTCCTAAAGCTTTTCTGGCAGAAAGCCCTGAAGCCAAACTTCTTGTAGACACAGAATAACACAGCTAATCAAAACATGTGCTACAAAATGTGATTGACAGACATCATCTTAGTCTCCTGGTCAGTTCTGGGGTATTTCCTGGTTATGGATATGTTCAAAGAAGGAAGCTCTTATTCCAGTACGGAGAAATGCATTTTTTACTCTTGTTGTCTACAAATCTTTTCCAGTTCAAGATGCCAACAAAAAAAAAAGATGTCTTTTTCCTGAAATTAATGAAATTCTTCCATTGACAAACCAAAGGTCACAGATATCAGGAACTCTGGCCACGAATGACCTCGAGATCATTCTTGAGGTTTTTCCTTTTTTCCCACACAACAATTTCACAAGACGACTGTGGGAATTTTATCATCAGATCTCTGTTTTCAAGGAGAGCAAGTCCCTCATGTAATTCTACTCTGCTTACTGCGTCCAATTTCATAAACTTGGCAAAAACACACATGCTGGTGTTTAAAAGTGTTGAAAAAATAGAAGGATGGCATCGCATCACCTCACTAAATGTAATTTTTTTTGCACGTAGGACTTTAAATTGAAGGTGCTGAGTGTGTCTGTTTTTGTCAATAATCTATTTCAGTCCGTGGAAGTAGGATTATAGTAATGAGCGGCACAGTCAATGGGAGAAAATAGATGAGCTGCTTTGACTGACGAGCCCGTCTGCATGTTACTGTCAGCGTAGGGCCAGTCTGCAGTGGTCAGAGGAGTCAACATGTTATAGAACTTTAACTGGGGGGGAAAGAAAGCTAGAATAGATAAATGATAGAAAAACAGAGCACAAGCAGAAATCTTACAAGACTTTGGATGTTACTGTCTGCAAAGTTGTGCTTTTGTGATGCTGAACACCTAAAATTCCCAAAGTCTTTTATAAAAATGTTTAATAATAAAACGGTTTTCGAGCTTACATACTTTCACTTTATGTATTTAATTACCTAACTGAATTATTTGACCGTATTTACGCGCTACTTCTTAGAGGATTACGCCTTCATTACTCAGCCAAAGCAGACAGCATAACCAGGTTGTCCAATTCTGTTTACTGTCTCAGCTGGCAGCTATTACAGCATGTGCTGTGACAGAGCGTCACCCACGTCCTCGACCTGCAGTCCGTCCGCTCTCAATCCTTTTTAGCATTTCCCTGTAGTTCACCTTGACTTACTAAAATGTTCAGGCAGTGCTTTCCATGTAGTATTTCTCTGTGTGTTAGTCATGGATTTGTCAAAGTGTCCCAGGAGTTTTGGGACGAAATACCTGATTACATTTCAGCTCCTCTTCGATATACGAGTAAGTGGTTCTAGAAACTTTGCAAACAAAGGGCGGGAAGAAATGAACACATCATAGTACACGACCACCTAGCTCATCTAGCTCCATGCAGCTTTTCTCTTTTTCCCTAAAATCAAGTCAAGGGAACCTATTTCCACCTTTTTCCATAAGCGAATAAGAAAACAATAGAGCTTCTGAGTAAAGACGAGCCACCAGAGAATCTAAACGCAGTCGTGTGTAGCTGCAGTTGGGAAATTTATTGAAGGAAAAAAGAATTTACTGCATGTTTTAAATATA